TAGGGATGGCCACGTTTAGGGGCCCACTATTTACTGCTCTCGTTGTGAAAACTGATTATATATTCCTATCTGTTGTCCTTTCATTTAACCAGTTACTGATCCATGAGACAACCTTCCCTCTTATCCCATGATAAGCTTACTTTGCCTAAGAGCCTTTGGTGTGGGACCTTGTCAAAAGCTTTTGGAAAGTCCAAGTACACTATGTCCACAGGATCCCCTTTATCTACATGCTTGATGACACCCTTAAAAATTCTAATAAATTGGTGAGGTGTGATTTCTCTTTATAAAAGGTGTGTTGACTCTTCCCAACGTATTGTGTTCATGTATGTGTCTGACAATCTTCTACTATATATTTGAGAGTGTCAGTGGGCGAGTTTCTGTCCCTCCATCTGTCTGTCCTCCTCCTAAACATTAAGAGCTAGGACCGCCAAGTTTGGTATGTAGCGTCCTCTTTTCATAACGTAAAGCAAGGTCAGGGTTTGGTTGTGCGGGATTGGGGAGACTAAAGTCCCCTTCCCAGTTCGTACAGGGACACATAAAACCGTACAGAAAAGAGACTTACCAGGGAGGTGGAAGGGCTGGCTGAGAGTGCCTCTTCCATCCAGGACTGCCTGAGCCCCAAGCCTCCCATCCCCCAGATACCCATTAGAGGCAAAGGGGCAGTGTCACTCCCACCACCCCAACTCACACTGGAACATTTCTGGCTGTTCCCCTTCCTCAAGGAGTGTACTCTGTCCCTGCACCCCTTCCCCACCTGTGCCCCCTGGAGCTGCAGTGACCATGGAGAGCCGCTTCTCACATGGCCCCATGCTACTGCGGGGAGAGAGGGCTGGGTAAGCCTCTCTCCCCGGAGCAACCTGCATACTGAACCCCTCATCCCTAGCCCCACCCCAGAGCAATGATTTAAATCAGGGGTAGGGAATAGAGTTACCAGGTAGACCCCCCCCCCAAAAAAAACCGGACACGCAGAGGGCTGGGTAAGCCTCTCTCCCCGGAGCAACCTGCATACTGAACCCCTCATCCCTAGCCCCACCCCAGAGCAATGATTTAAATCAGGGGTAGGGAATAGAGTTACCAGGTAGACCCCCCCCCCAAAAAAAACCGGACACGCTTGATCGTGGGTTGGGGGGGGAAGTGGGCCACTAGTGTCCCTTTGTGTCACCTTTTCAAATTGTATTTGTGCGTGAATATTCACTAAGGTCAAACCTGACAAACTCACTACAATTGTGAACAAAATGGCATATCTGAACTCAGCTTTCTAGGGAGGAACCTAGTGTTTGAAATTCTTGTTCCACTGTCAAGAGCTCTAGGCTCTTGCTTTCTTTATAGCTCTTGATTCCTAAAGCAAATGGCCTGGCTGGAAGTAGTCACGTTTTTTTGCCAGGGGGATTGTGAGAGTGGCGTCCAAGTCCATTACCAATTCAATGGTTTTAGTCATGGAAAAAAGTCCGTGGTGCTTTAGATTACATGTGCAGCTGCTGCAAAACCTCTATTGTTGATCATTCGTGAAATATTGTGATCTCTGTTCTGGAGTGTATAATCTTCTGAGAGGGATGAACTGGGCATAGGCATGGGCAGTGGAATGTGAGTGTTATGCAAAAGAAACGGGAGAGTTGGCTGGTGTGGGGACCACTGGAATCCAAGAAAAAGCGGTGCCTAAAATCTGGAAAGACCGGTCTGTGTGATTTATGTTGCGGTCACAGTCAGCTTTCCCAGTGCAAGCCCTGCTGGGGTTTTGTTTGGATCACACCAATGCATTCCTTTAGCCTGTGGGATCGGAGACCCTGGGCCTATGCCAGACTCTGCTCATTCTCACAGAAGTGAACCTGTGAAAAGAGTTGACATGGAGCAAGAGACTGGGAGGAAAATGGTGTGAAAACCCTCCTTTCCATTTCAGCACCTTGATTTTCTTTAACCCTTTTGGTTCCGATCCATGACTTGTAGGTACATCCTCCAAGTATCCCCTTTCAGAGAAGCCTCAAGTGACCTGATAACGCATTCACATTGCTGTTTGGGGCAATGACGAGGCAGCTCTAACATGAAGTACCTGCCTCTGCTCCTGGATTGATGTGTTTTCCCTATTGAGAGTACCTCCACCCAGCAAGAACCGGAGAACTGGTGTGATTTTGGAGTTGTTGGGTGCCAATGACACACTATGGATGCCTTCAGGCTGGTTAGCAGCAGCATGGCGGGATGTCAGAGGCATGTGGCTGAATCCTAGGTTGCTCATGGCTCCAGTGAAGGGTGGAAGAGCAGGGTTCCGTAGGAGTACAGAGCACAGGAGAGGAGGGGCTGGGGACTTTGGGGAGGGAGAAGGGGCAGGAAGTGGCAGGCAGGTGAGGAGGCTTGGGGGAAGGGGCAGAGGTGGGGGTAAGGCAGGGCAGGGGAAGGGAAAGACAGGGTGGGGGCAGGGCCTCGGGTGGTTGTACTGGGCCCCACATCCTTCTAGGGATGGCCACGTTTAGGGGCCCACTATTTACTGCTCTCGTTGTGAAAACTGATTATATATTCCTATCTGTTGTCCTTTCATTTAACCAGTTACTGATCCATGAGACAACCTTCCCTCTTATCCCATGATAAGCTTACTTTGCCTAAGAGCCTTTGGTGTGGGACCTTGTCAAAAGCTTTTGGAAAGTCCAAGTACACTATGTCCACAGGATCCCCTTTATCTACATGCTTGATGACACCCTTAAAAATTCTAATAAATTGGTGAGGTGTGATTTCTCTTTATAAAAGGTGTGTTGACTCTTCCCAACGTATTGTGTTCATGTATGTGTCTGACAATCTTCTACTATATATTTGAGAGTGTCAGTGGGCGAGTTTCTGTCCCTCCATCTGTCTGTCCTCCTCCTAAACATTAAGAGCTAGGACCGCCAAGTTTGGTATGTAGCGTCCTCTTTTCATAACGTAAAGCAAGGTCAGGGTTTGGTTGTGCGGGATTGGGGAGACTAAAGTCCCTTTCCCAGTTCGTACAGGGACACATAAAACCGTACAGAAAAGAGACTTACCAGGGAGGTGGAAGGGCTGGCTGAGAGTCCCTCCCCCATCCGGGACTGCCTGAGCCCCAAGCCTCCCATCCCCCAGATACCCATTAGAGGCAAAGGGGCAGTGTCACTCCCACCACCCCAACTCACACTGGAACATTTCTGGCTGTTCCCCTTCCT